ATCGCATCCTTCGCCAGTAGGACTGCGATCTCCGCACGCAAGACACTGTCGTGAAGCGGATGCCACTGAACTTGAGGGGATGCCGGGCGAACTGAATCGCATAGCCGAGAAGGATGAGTGGAGGATGAGTGAGGGCCATCCGCGACTCTCCGTGCCCTCCTGGGACCCAGAGATAGAGAAAACCGCTCTCTCGTCGCGATTTTCCAGATTCTCCACCCTGCCCTCCTCCGGGGGAGGGAGAGGTGTCTTCACCATCCCCCAAAGAGCAGTTTCCTCCCTCTCTGGGTCACCCGTCCCGGGGCCTCTTGCTCTTTTGCTCACCGCCAGGTTTGACGGGGGCCTGGACGGGTGGGGCGGCCTGCCTACGCCCAGCTCCGTGTATTCTGTATATAAATGTTTCCACAGCTTACATACAGCTAGCATTGACTAGATATAACTGTGCCTACAGCAAACAAGCCCATTGGAGAAACAGATTCACCTCAATGACAAACACCGGATATGAGTGGATACTGTGCTTTAAGTTGTTTGTATCTGCATTAGCAAGTGTGCTCAGGGCTTTCATGACACTTTGTCACCTCTGCAGGGTAAACAAGCCCTCTCTAACTGAAACCCCAGGGCTTTTGTTTGCCTCTCCAAATAAATGAAGAGGCCCTGCAGACCGCCATTTGCTTTTGAAGTGATCAAATGATTCTTTGTGAGGGCCATAAATGAGACACAGCTGCACGAAAACATCAAACAAAGCACTATTAAAACATAGTGCAGAGGAGCACTGCAAGCCTCGGGTGAGTCTCTGAACTTCTTTCTAAGACAGGTGGTAGACTGTTCAACTATAACAAAACAAGTCAGCCCACGGTCACTGACACCGTGATTCTTGCAGAATATTTTCACACAAAAATAGGCTATGTATAGGCTAATCTATTGACCTCTTTTAGATTTGTAGTCAATAATAACAAAAAACTTTAATAATTTGGGGGAGTATGTATCTAAAATTATATAAAGGTTATGCATATATAAAAATACAAAGAAAACATAAAAAGGCCTTTAAAATGTGGGGGGAGACTGGGCCAACTGTAAGAATTTTTAAATATTCATACACACCTTTTAAGTAATAATATAATTGTTTTCATACTTACTGAATAGTTTTATTTGTGGGACCTACTGTACAATTAAATGACATATGACATATACAACCATTCAAAACTACCATTTCTTAAAAGAAATTAATACTTTATGACACATTAAAATGATCAAAAGTGACAGTAAAGACATTAATAATGTTACAAAATATTTCTATATTGAATAAATGCTGTTCTTTCAAACTTTCTATTCATCAAAGAATTCTGAAAAGAAATGTACCACGGTTTCCACAAAAATAGTATAGCTATGGAAGAAAATCGATGTATAGTATTCGACACTCAAATTTCGGTCCATTTTATTTCACTTTCCAAATTCACTTTCACAAATTGTGGTTAAAATTCAGCAGAAAATTTGGCATTGCACATCCGGGAGCTGCAGGAATAGCGTTGTGGAAGCGAATTTGGAAAGTGAAATAAAATGGACCGAAATTTGAGTGTTGAATATTATACATCGTATTTTTAAACAGATTGAATATTTTGGAAGTGAATTCTGGAAGGTGAATATGAATTATTGAATTTTTAATTATGAAAATGTGTGTGAAATATTTTGAATTGAAATATTCACAGCTTAAATAGACAACTATGTTAAATTTCAGGACCTAAAAATGCAAGCCCTGGAAATACAAGGCATTAAAATGCAAGCACTGTTAATGCAATGCATTATTTTTTCAGTTAGTGCTATTCAACGTGCTTTTTTGTTTCAAAGACATATGGCATTATTTTTCTTCCATATATAGCACAACTGTTTTTAACATTAAAAATTCAGTTTTGCCATCACAGGAATAAATGACATTTTAAAATATTTTAAATTTTAGTAATATTTTACAGTATTACCGTTTTACTGTATTTTTGATCAAATAAATGCAGCCTTGTTGACCATAAGAGACTTTCAAAATACCTACATTCAATCTGTTTTTTATTAAAATAGATTGATTAGTCTGACTAGATACTTTAATGAAATAATGCTCATTATGCATTTTAAAGATTCAGTTTTCCCAATTCAGCCATACCATTTTAATTTCAGACAGCCGCAGGAAAAAAAGGTAAAATGATCAGACTCCTTTTTCTCAGGCTGGGAGGGAACTTTAATGTGTCATAACTCGTTACAATTGCCACCGGTGTCCCCTTCACATTTACAATTTTTAGCATAATTTAGCATAACAATTGAAACAGTCATTTAGAGACTTCTTTATGGCTTTTCTGTTGCATTACATAAACATGTTAAAAGCAACAGCCCGAACAATGCACAAAACAGGACATTATCTGGTACAATGGATAGCATTTTCAATTTAGGGCACAAAACATATGGTCAATGCTTAATAGCTGTGTCCATGAGTGTTGTGCTGGGCCAAATCCAGTTGGCCTAAAACTGCAGAGGCACACTGGGTCAGAACACCGAGGTCCAACAGCATGTGGAAGAGACTGATGAAGGAACCAGTTTCAAACATATGGCCACATCAAATCTCCACTGCCAGACTGTGGATTACCTGCAGAAGCAGCGCTGCTTTTATCCAAAGCATTACAAACAAATTTTTTTTTTACAAAATCAAGATTTTGAACTGTATTTAGATATATCCCACATTTTGTTACAGAGCTGCAAAAAGTGCAAATAATACATTTCTATTTACATTTATTCATCTGGTAGATGCTTTTATCAAAAACACTTTTCTTTCATTCATGAAGAATTATTTTAACATTTTATTATTTTATTTTATTGCTAGAAAATGACAGAAACCAGTATTTTAAACAGCATTTAGTTATATCCCCAATAATTTCCTGATATGTGTGTTCATATTTACATGTATTCATTTGACAGCTGCTTTCATTCACGCAATTAGGTTGTACATTTTTTAAATCATTTCTTAAATTTATTTCCAGGAATTTAACCCATGACCTTTATTGTCAGCACTGTGCTCTACCAGTTAAGCTGCATTTTTGTGCATATTAACTACAGAGGTGATTTACTGCTTAGTATATTGGTTTTTAAGACTTACATATAGTGTTGTTTTTGGCGGCCTGTTTTAATTTTAGTTTTAGTCTAGTCTTTGTGTGAAACTGTCATTTTAGTTTTTATTAGTTTTAGTCACGTTCATACTCTTTTTAGTCTAGTCAAGTTTTAGTCAACTAAAAGTCTGAGCATTTTAGTCTAGTTTTAGTCGACGAAAACTGATGACATTTAGTCTAGTTTTAGTCAATGAAAATTGTATTTTAGTCTCTTTTTAGAAATGCAATTCTATTTAACCCAGTCAATATAGTATAAGTACCTAGTAGTAGGGGTGTGCGATATATATCGTCTGCGATAATATCGTAATTGTTGTTTTAACGATGTGCGATTTGACATTATCGAGTATTTTGCAAAAACCATTCAAAACATCCCTACAGAGCGCACGCATACATTACGTGAAGTCTAGACTAGTGCGTGTGCGCATTTAGTGTGTTTTCTTTCACTGCATGATTCAGTCTATTAAAATGAATTTAGAATGATCACAAATTCAAGACAAGATGGCAGAAAATTTATATATTTATACCACTTCATATAGTTATTCAATTTCACACGAAGAGTGCCGTTTTTCTCCAAAAATTACCATGATTACAAATGTGACATTAAATTCAATAAACAATAAGTTAATTAAGAGACTTACGTTTTAGACACCATATTGCTTGTTTTTGCTCTATTTCGCCAACAAAAATCATTCCGAATACAGCCACAGCGCCGTTTTGTGTCTCTGAGCAACATGATGGTGTTTCGTTC